TGCTGACTGCTTAAGGTCCCTAAGATCTTTTTGGCTACCTGTGATCTCCTCCTATTGTAAGAGAAAGCTTCCCTTCTTGTGTAGCTTTTGCTATTTCTTGGGCAAGCTGGCAGACAAGGGTGCTAAAATAGTCTTACAAAGAGAGTCATTTTATATTTGCAGATTTAATTTAGATCATGAAATATTGATGATGCTTTTATATTTGACCTGTTCACATAAGGGGCTTATCACCCAGCCAAATACAGAGAATTAATCAGTTATAACTTTGAAGAAATCTCTTGCTTAATCATGACAGCTTCAGCTACATTTTTTTTTTTCCAATGATTAAAGGGGTGGATTTCTAAAGAAACCGTGGTGCTCTATATGTCAGTGTGGAGGTGTGGTAGCCTCATGGTTGGTGCGCTAGACTCTGGATCGAGTGGTCTGGGTTCAAGCCCCGGCTGGGACATTGTGTCGTGTTCTTAGGCAAGACACTTTACTGTCACAGTGCCTCTCACCACCCAGGTGTATATATGGGTACCTCCAAATTTAATGCTGGGGGTAACCCTGAGATGGACTGGCATCCCATCCAGGGAGGAGTAGAATTACTCCTAGTCGCTTCATGCTACAGAGACTGGAGTTAAGCACCGGCCAAATGGGCCACTAGGCTCGTAAACGGACTTTACCTTTACCTATATGTTAGTGGTGGGTATTACAAGATAATGTGAATTTATCAACTGAGTGGAAAATAAATGTAAATTGGCCACCATTAAAAGTTTCTGAAGCTAAACTCTCAATGGTCATGGCCAATTTACAACTTGACTCAACACAGTTAATAAAATCAAATTATCTTTGACTCAGATGTTAAGAATATTGTCTCTAGTTGTAAATTTACACCAATCCATACTTCTTTTAATGCATTTCTCTTTGAAAACCCTGTTCCTTGACTATAGAATAATGAATTATCTCAAATAAACACCTATGCTCTGATAAGAATTCTCCAGCAAATAAAATGAACACATATTAAGTCTATATAAGTGTAAACATCATGAAATAGGCTTCCTAGAATAATATGTTACCAAAGTTAGATTCTCTTGACAACTGATAGGGGTTGCGATGCAGTGTTGGCATAAGGTTTCCTGCTATAATGGGTTTAAATGATTATACCTTTAAAGGAGGTGTTTTAGATTATCACCAACCTTTTTTGCAACAATTCCACACTCTACTGAGTTTTTCACCATCTCACTTGAAACACTATGATTATTAATATGTGGTACAATCATTTCTCCAAAATCTGTTACTTTGTAGCCTGGGAGTTAGAAAATGTGCAAGGATGTTAGTAATTTGGTTACTAAGCTTTTAAATGTCTTTCAATTAAAAGTCCCAAGAGGTTGATTTTACCAAATTTCTCTATTCTGCGGACTAAGCCTTGTTTCCTCAAACGAACTGGTCCTTCTTCAACACCCTTCCTTGGCTAAAAAAGACAACACAAAAAGAACCATCTTCATCTTTAGAAAAGCTTTTTAATGTTAAATGTCACAAGAATAATTTTTTATATGCACAAGGATTTAACTGCCCAGTCGGATCATGCTTCACTAGCTGAACCACCAGGATGTAACTCGTGGTGAAAGGTTAAATTTGAGACTTTCAAGATTCCATGGATCATGTTTACTGTAGCTAACTATTCTGGTGTTCGGTCTTTTCATCCAAGAGTCTTTTAGTCCGAAAGTCTTTTCATTCCAGTCTTTTCGTCCAAGTCTTTTCGTCCAAAAGTATTTTCTATTATACTTTACTAAAAACTGGATCATTGAACAATGCAATTCAAGACTTTTTATTGGCTTAGCCATTTATGGTATATGAGCCAATATACCATAATCTAATATCTCTACATTGTAACATCCAGTTTCTTCTTAAAAAATAAAGTCAAGAAGGTTTGTCTAATATCTTGGGGGCATTTTTTTTAATAAAACAATTATTCCACTCGCGCTTGTTGGACATGAGATGATTAAAGCCACCTCGGCGCTACGCACCCCGTTGGCCATCTACCTCATATCCAATGTGCGCTCGTGGAATAATTGTTAAATTGATAAGGCTATACATAAAACTTATCCGTGCGAGCCGTTGCCCTTTTGGTTTAACAATCTTTGTTTACGAATTCAACGCCATGAATTTAATACACAGAGAATGAATGAAGTTGTAACGCAATATATTTCATTAAATAGTAGCAAAAATGAAGACTTGCTTGCCGTTTAATTATTCCATGCGAAAGAAATGGGAAGATTAGGCTCGTTGTTAAGCGTCTATTGGGCGTACGAGGCACCGAAGTGTAACATCACC